ACTACTCACTATAGCGCATGTAAGCGATTGGTGCGCCCTCAATATTCCTGCTGACCGAGACACCGAACAAGATTGAATGGCGGTCACCACCCGCAAAGCATCCACAAAAGCGCCCGCCCAGCCTGTTGAACTGACACTCAAGGGTCATGAGGAAGTTGTGTACGAAGTAGCTTTCATCCTCGGTACCCATCTCCTTGTCACTGGCTCGGCCGACGAGAGTCTTCGGATGTGGGATCTGGACACAGGGAAACAAGTGGGAGAGCCCTTGTTGGGACACGATGCCAGAGTCTACTCGGTCTCGGCGTCCCCTAATGGACGTTGGATAACGAGTGGAGGATGGAATGGAAGCATCCTGGTCTGGGAAGTTGCGACAAACAACTTGAAAAGAGAGCTCAAAAGATTGCCCATCTCGTTTAAGGGCCATGAGAATGTGGTTCAGGGCATCGTATTTGCACCGGACAACAAGACATTTGCAAGTGCATCAAAGGACAAAACAGTATGCGTGTGGAAGAGGGAGACGGGAAAAATAGTCCTCGGACCGCTCAAAGTGGGCAACATAGCAAACTCGGTATCGTACTCCCCGGATGGGACAAAACTAGCAGCGGGTACAGAGGAGCACATCATCATTTGGAATTCAGCAAGTGGAGAAGAGTTGCTGAAAATAGAACAGCGCGCATTTAGAGTCACATTCACTCCAGATGGTCTCCGTCTCGTCAGTGGAAGCCAGAATGGCATCCGAATATCAGATGCTACCACCGGAGACATCATCAAACAGTTTGACGCGCACACCGAATGGTTTTTATCACTAACCGTTGCTCCTGATGGCACCAAATTCGCCACCACGTCACATGACAAGACGACGCGGTTCTTTAACTTGACCACTTTTGAACCCATTAGCGAGCCACTCGAGCACCCTGATTCAGTCTGGTGCGTGGCATTTTCCGAAGACAGCAAACTCATCGCGACTGGCTGTTACGATGGACATGTTCGTACATGGATAGTCCCTTTGAGCGAGTCAGAAGAACAGCCCCAACAGGTGAGCAAATTTTCTCGTTGTATCATGTTTCACGCCCGCTGACCTGTCATATAGTCCACTCAGAAAATTCTCAATGTACGCTTTCACACTCGTTGTATTGTACAATCCCTAATTTGAGTCCTGCAGAAAACCATCCCAGACCTGCGGCCTCGCCCAAAACACGCTCCAATAGTGACTAGTACATTCTTCGATGATGTAAGTCCATACGATACAGTAGATCTGATGCACGTCTCACTATCCTTTGACAGTTTGATCCAACTGGACGCACCAATCGCGCCACCACTACATGCAACACCAAAGGCTCCAAAATCAAAAACATGATAGATCATATCTTTTCTCGCTCCTCCGTTTCTCAGGACCAAACTCCTCGCCCACGCGGGGCTCCCCTTGTGGACGTCCCTACAACACGAGGCAAATATGTAAGCTTTCCTGACTTTTGGACATTCATCTAGCGACGTTGATATTGTCTCGCAGCGCACCGCTAATGCCCACAGTGGAAAAAGGGACAAGTTGTTGCGGCTACAACGTCCTCCTCGCAACTGGCAAGCTCACACTGGTGCCTCAAGCAGCAGCACGCCACCGGCGGAGACATCCCATGTGGTCAATGAAACTGCGCCAGCAACGTTGCAGACTGGAAGTACCAGACCCTCTTCCCCACTAGACGTCGCACATGCCCCACACAGCAGCTGCTTTGCAGCTCTCGCAAGGTGCCTCCCATGTTTATCACGATTTGCTCCAGGTTCCTGCTAGGCTTCTTGTCCCTTCTGAGCATTTTTATTGGAGTAGATGTTACTGCATGTATTGGAAAGATACTTATGCAATTCGATGATGTTCCCGGAGAAGGACTACCATCGTACGCAGCATTCTCTTGTTTAGCTGAATAGATACCACTTATTTGCCACTGTGTCAGTCGTACCCGGACTGCTTGTGCTAACAGAGCAAACAATGGGCCAGGTGAAATTGACGCGGTCGTGACGCGGCTATGATGCGGAGGTATCCTGCACTTGCAGGTCTATTGCCGAATTGTCCTTGCTGCTTGGTGTACTGATAGTTGCAGTAGCCACTTGCAAAATTGATAATCGTCGGTGGGGGCAGAGCCTCACTGGTTCGCATCACTACCAAACTCGCTTCCACATCACGAGGTACACCTCATTAGTGCCGAATTTGAAATTATCATGATTCTCAAATTTCAAATGCCAACTATATTTGAGTTTTCGAGCGGTGTTCTGTTCGAAGTTACATAACTTCTTACTGGCTATTTTTGCTATATAAAGTATGTCGATTGACCTCTCTAACTCATCAAGCCATGCTTGCTACCGTTCTGTTGCTTGCTCTGCCGTTCTGTGCTGCAGAGTCCGCATCCAGTTATGCAGGATCAACCGTCGTTGATTCTTATCCTCCCCCTGATGCCACCAACACTACTGTTGACGCTTACTTCCCAGATGCATCTCAAGTCGGTTATGCAGGTCCAACGCCCAGTAAATGATAAGGCTAATTACATTTCCTGTGTTCTAATCAAAAAATTCAGCTGGTGCTGAACCTGCGGCCATCGTCACTGCCATCCCGTTCTCTAAGGTCGAAAACATATTTCCCTTGTCGAGGCCGAATTCAGCAGATGGCGCAGACAGCAATTTCAATGTGACGCGTCACTGGGGCAACTTGTCGCCCTTCTACTCTGTGGAGTCATTTGGTCTTCCTGACGCATCCCCCGTCATCCCAGAAGGGTGTGGCCTCAATGCTGTGCATCTCTTGATGCGCCACGGTGCCCGCTATCCAACTTCTGGCTCCGGACTTTCTCAGTTCGCGTCTGACATTCATGCTGCTGCAGTGAAAGAGGGCTTTAACGCCACTGGTGATTTGAAATTTTTGGCAACCTGGACGTATAAGTTGGGCGCGGAGATCTTGACGCCTTTCGGCCGCGAATCGCTGTACGTTGGCTCTTCTTTGCGATGCTTCCACTGACGCTCTCCTCCGTCAGCTTTAGCATCGGGGTTGCCTTCCGCTACAGATATGGCCAGTTGCTTAATGGGTTCACGGACCTCCCAGTATTCCGTACTACTTCCGAAGGTTTGCCTGCATCGAACGTTTGTTTCATCTGATGGTTTTCTTATGTCATATAGATCGCATGGTAGATTCTGCGTAAGCAATTGATTCACATTCTATGTGCTGCGCCTCATGATGTTATTGGTAGCCTGAACTTTGCTGCAGGCTTTTTTGACGTCAGAACTTACGAGACCGACTATCACCAGGAGATCATCATCGAGGAGAACAACTTCAACAACACCCTAGCTCCTTATGATGTGTGCCCCAACGCCAATTCGGAGGATATCGGTTATTTCGGTGGCACCCAGGCCAGCAAATGGGCGGATATCTATCTCAAAGATGCTCAAACGCGCTTGCAACCAATGCTCCAAGGATTTAATTTGACCATCTCACGGTTAGTTTACATGCAGCAAATGTGCGCTTATGAGGTAATCTCATCCTTTTCACAATCTTTATGGTTTTTTCTTCTGAAAACCTGCAGACTGTGGCCCTCGGATATTCCAAGTTTTGCGACCTTTTTACTGAGGAAGAATGGGAAGGATTCGAGTACTACAACGGTATGTTCCCTCAAATGATTCTTGCTGAGCTCGGCGGTGATCTCTATTTGCAGATCTTGGTGAGTACATTGAGTGGTAAACTTGTAGCCTGAGCGACTGTTGACTTCGTTGTGAACCAAGATTTCTGGTACAGCAATGGACCAGGGAATCCAACAGCGGCAGCGCAGGGCCTTGGCTATGTCCAGGAGCTAGTGTCGCGTCTCACTCACACTCCCATCAATGTCTGGAACAGCAGCACCAACAGCACTCTTGATTCGAGCAACATCACATTCCCTCTTAATCAACCTATATATGTTGACGCTTCCCACGACACGGTCATCTCCTGTAGTATGTTGTCACTGCCTTCTTTTCCAATGCAAGACTACTGACGAAAGGGCTCAGTCGTCACTGCTCTGAACTTTACTAGTCTAGCTGCGACTGGTCCTCTTCCAACCGACCATATACCCCCTCACCGTGTACGCGTTCTCATGAACCACCGCTTGTCTCTATTTCTGACGAGTCAATCAGTCTTACATCTCTAGCCAGATCGCACCTTTTGCCAGCCAGCTTGTAGCCCAGGTGCTCAGTTGCCCAGCCTCAGAGGAGCCTACTCATATTCGGTTCCTTCTGAACGATGGGGTGGTACCACTGACGGGCATTCATGGTTGCACAGAAGATTCGAATGGTCTCTGCGCGCTGGCCAGCTTTATCAGCGGAATGCATGAACGAATTGGGGAAATCAACTACGCGCATGATTGCTTCGCCAATTATACTATGCCTAATCCCGACAACATCATCGATGGAAGATACCCCAGTTAAAAGGATGGATGAGTATTTGGTTGTATGTACGTACCCATCAGTTGACACCTTTTGGATAACGTTTATGATGTCGGGAAAAGGTAAATGACGCGCATTTCGTACCAATACGTTTCTGACCGACAGTTACATGTACTGTGCGACCGCATTTATACACTGTTGCGCAGATGGATGGTGAGCGGTGTGGAGCTCATGTGGAGCACGTACATGGGGGTCACATGAATTGATTGCGCAGGCAACGTTTCACTTTAGAATGCCAGATGACAGTCATGTGCACGTGCCACGTCTACCTTTCCAGAACTTTGTGCTTCAATACAGGACTGTCAAATAACTGTTGCACCCTTGATTAGCAAGTCCCGCGACGGCGGCGGCTGTCTATCTCAGACAGAGATCCAAGGAGAATGGTCACTGTTATCTCGTAAACCAAGGAGGCATTGAAAACAGCCTATCCAACCTAAAGCATATAAAAGACCTTGCTGAACCTCCAAATGGCAGAATTCGAAGCTTTCCAACTGCCCGCGGGAACACAAACTTGAAGCTGGTCTGCCTGTGGATATGATGGTACCACAGCCAAATAATATGAACCCATTGATTCATTGCATCCATATGGTAACCTAACATTAGAAGAACGATGCGAGCTTAAGATATCTTGGTTCGACTATCGATAGGCCGGCCGACAAATTGTATCAGCCACGACATGTCGAAGCCAGATGCGAACGAGTCATCAAATTCGATGGTGATAAGGACAAATACCACTCGAACATGGAAATCTATAACAGATGGATTCACGCGATGAATACGAGACTTAAATTTGATAGGCTCCTTACCGACTCTAAGAGGTACGGTAGAAAGGCAATTCAAGCCGATAAGGTTCTCAAGAGTCAAGACTTGGAGCGGTCTCCTTCTAAACGAAGACAACCTTCCGGACAATTGGGTCCGCCAATCAGGGGTTTTAGTGAGTATGGTGCCTCGCCGCCCTCCGGGACGGAAGAAATAATTCTGAGGTACTGTGTCTCACACTGCTACAAAGTGTACATAAAGTATTTCCTCTGGGTGACTACACACGGGTGCAAACCGACCTAAACGTATCCTTTCGGGCTGACCTTGTCAGTTGCTACTGCCAGATAACATCGTTCCACCAAAAAAAAAGAAAAAAAACTTCTGAACCCTCCGCTTGAAAGCTGACAGCTACTTTCATATTACCCTTGAATGGCACTCTGCCTGGACAGTCTGCAATTAAAGGCGAGAGTCCAATGATGCTGCGGAACCCTTGGCTTATCAGTTGTCTCCAGTCTGAGCTCAAACACGCTACTTCTACAGTATACTTTACAGTTCCCTTGCTTCCGTTCGCTCAGTCTAGATGGTGGATATATGTATGTATGTATCTTGATCGAACCTTTACTCTGCTATCCATACGTCGCATGATGGGCTCAAACAGATCATTGCAAGGACGCAAACTCGTTGCACAATTTACACTCGCATGAGCGATGGTGCAGCTCCGATCAACGTATGTATGGATGCAACGTCGGAATGCCGTGGTTCATGGCATTAACAGTCAGCTCCGGATCTTTAATTCTCTACTCCGGGTCCCCGCTCGGCACACCTCATCTTCTGGCTATGTTCATTCGCGATAGAGGAACCACGAGTCCGCGCGATTTATTCCTGTTCCGTGGCCCAGATGGATGAAAGCGCATCTGAGCAACGATGAGTTACAGTCATCTCAGACAAAGGGATTTTGCGAACACGTAGAATCAACTGTCTGGGCATCAAGGGTCGGGTTCATTACTAGATGTGCCGAGTAATTGCAGCTTGCTACTCGGTACGAGTGTGGGTGAGCAGATCACCGACTTCAAGTAGTGATACAACGAGAAATAGGTTTGTCTACATAAACCTCGTCTAAATATACTTTGAGACGCCATGACTAAAATAAATACGACGGATCCTCGACCAAACATCTCCTGCATGCGGAACACTCGGCAACCATTTCCTAGACAGTGCTGCTAGTTGGTACATGCACATGCTCCTGGAAGACGATTGAATTCATGCTAGTTTCTGCGTCGGATTCGGCCACGAGTTTAGCGTTAAATTGTCGAACACTAAGAATGAGGCGTGGTCCCAGCAGAAACATCTGCACGGACAATAAAATATTCATAGCACCAAAGAGTATCTCAACTCCGATGTAATTCAAATTCTACAGAAATGATGAGCAGTGGTCACATGTAGATGTCAGTGACATGTTGGCGCACCTCGAGCTCTGGAGAGGTATCAATAAGCTGGAGGCAAGAGACACCAGCAAAGCTAGCACGTGCAGAACTTGAGCAGAAAACGATAAGCACATTCGCATTACAAGCTCACCTTGCAAAATAAAGCACGTGAGATTCCGTCAGCACTCTGAAGCAGTCCCCCATGGTCGATCCTGTCAATGGGTTGAGTCGTCGCAGGTCACGGAAGTGCTTCGCAGCGATCCAGACTGAAAGACACAGTGCGAGGATCTCCCAAATAGTGTTGAGCATCCAGATCATTGATGTAAGAACTTCATCAGATCCGTCAGCGCACATATGAATGCCAGAGAGTATTAGTTCCTCTGATATTTGTCCAATGAGCTGTGTTCTTCAATTCACAAAGTAAAGCTTACCCGCTCCACCAATATAATACTTGTATGCTATTATCACGATTACTCCGCAGGCGGTGTTTACAGCCAGGAAGATTACAACGAGGAAGATAAGCATCCTGCCAGATCTCTGATACATGGCATACAACCGAGCAAGCATGATGGCTTGGATCATATTTCAGTCGAGTTAATATCACTGAGGTATCGCAACCTAGTAACTCACCGCCCAACATGGCAGTTACGACCACATTTGTCCCATTTACTGCATAGATTATGATATTGCCTGAAGCACCCGATTAACGGTCACTCTCGTACTAGGATAAAACGCCCCGACTCACACCTATTGAGTCATTATGTCGAGCCAAGTCCAATGGTAAAATCACACTCACCCCTACAAATGAATGTATTCATTGGATATGAATGAAATGATTGCGGAATACTCACTGCATCTGTCAACGGGACCGACGTATTGGTTCCTGGGTGCCGCCGGTTAGAAGAATCGAACACGGTGCATATGAGACATACCCAGAATCCTAGCACTGGTAATGAGAGATGGGCTATCAGTGCAGCAACTACTTTTTGGCCTCGATTAACATACACAGAATATGGTATCCCAGCATAGCGTATCTAGAACATTTCGAAGTCAGAACAACCGCGAAACATGCCGTGGTATAACATGAGGCACGAACAACTAGGTACAGCACCGTCATAAAAGACCAGTGTTGCGTCTGTCACGAATTCATTGTTTTTCTTCTGATATGGGACTGTGACTCACCCAAATCAGTTCGATCTATGACAGCATTGTTAGCAAGTTGGCTGCTCCGGCGCAATAGCATCAACCCACCTCTTGTCCGAGTGTTAATACTGGAAATATCATGAGAATATCAGCGATTTCAGGACACTGTCCTGCTCACCCCAATCATATACCACTACGATGCCTGCGGCAACTGCGAAGGCACAAGTGGACGTTAGATCAAGACAACACCAAATGATATGACGAACCGATCCAATAGCTGTAAAAAAAACTCAAATCGATCAACGGTAACCAACTGGGATCATTTGAGATTACAGTCATATTGGAGGATGGCGAATGTTGGGAGTGTATAAAGATCTAGTGTTCATATACCAGCATTCAGCGCTCAGCGCTTGTATCACCGAAATCGGCATGGTGGTGATTTGGACATTTGTTCCTTGATTGAATGAAAATAGATTTTCAAACCTCCACCCAGGTGAATTACAAATGTTGATGATATCGGCAACTAGGCACGTATTACTATAGACTTCATCAGGTCTAAGCGTGATTTGTGCACTAAGTAGCTGTGCAAACTGATGAGTACGCCACATTGCTTCTGCACTTACCATTTTTGGCATCCATGTGATACAAAGTCCGATGATGGAGGCACTGTAACTGCTTCACGACCAACATTCATGTTATAAACGCGCCTAGATTGAAAATTCATCTTTCTCCATACGAAGATATGTGCACTGCAGGAACGGATCCGGATATAATCCCTCGACCTCATTTTGGTAATTAAAGCACATGATTATGGTGTATCTCATTGCCATACGTCCACCAAGTTTGCCTCTCACCCACACTCATTCTCTACCAATATGACCATAGTCTCAAACGATCCCACTTTGTGGCCGACCATAAACGGATATCGTTATTCCAGTTATCTTGTAGGTTCGTGCAGAGCTGTTGAATGTTGAAGCTGACTCATTCTAACCTTAGCTGCGGTTTTGCAGTTGCCACTTTTGTTGGAGTGATGTATGATTGGGGTGAGCATGATGATATTAAAGGACTGCTGATATCCTAGAACTATTTCAGCACTTTCGTTCGGACAGGAGGTATGTCAATGCTATGACTGGGGCGGCCATCTCGCTAACAATGGTTTTGTCCTAGGTCGAACTGATCTGGGTGAGTGGAGTATCATGTCAGAGGAACACACATGAATGTACACTGAATTCCAGGGTCAACGCTGGTCCCTAATGACAGTTCTGTATCTCGGTGTATGCGGCTTGTTTGTTGTAGTTTCCATGTTATGCTGACTTGAACGTATCCTAGATGCGCTACCTTGGAATCTTATGTAATGCGTATGTTCGAAAGGTCAAACAATCGATGTCGTATTGATTGTCTACCTCTCATAATCAGTATCACTGTGTGGAGTATGTCTCCTTAGTATATTCGCTGCCGTCGCTTCTCCTAAACAACGGCATAGGCTGTCTTCCAACCATCTCACTAACAGATACGGTGAGTTTTCTGCACATGCCTGCCATCCCCCTTTAATCGGTCGTGGTGTCCTGTAGGGGTCAGTGTGATTCTTTACTAACTTCTTAGTTTATTAATGACTGCTACACTGTACTGCCCCAGATGTGAGTCCATTTGGAGTGTGTGCTACCCGAGGCTTGTCACTGACTGGATTCGTCAGGCGTTATTTCGTACATCGTACAGGAATGGATCAATGTTTTGGTATTTATAATGCTGGGGGGTGAGCTTGGCACCTACAACAGTTATTTCCTTGACTGAAACATGCTGCAAGTCGTCATGATTACTCGGTTATATGCCATGTATGAACGATCCAGAAATATCCTGATATTTCTCAGTGTCATCTTCCTGGCTGACAACATTTTCAATGGAGTGGTCACTCTAATGGTAACCCTACATCTTTCAGGAGGTACGCTTGATTGTGGATAAAAATAAACGTGCATAGTTCTCATTGATGAATACCAGAGGAACTCATTCTTTCTGGCACTCATCAGTGCTCGATTGACTTTGGAGACGATGGCTTGCGTCTGGATCTCATTATTTGGATACTCGGAAGTGTGTGGGAGGTCCTCGCACTATGTCTCGCATTCTGGATTGCTGTAAAACACTTCAGGGAATTGCGACAATATTCGACAGGAAATATTACCGGGGACTGTTTCACGGTACTGCTGAAATCTCACGTGGTCTACTTTGTGAGGTGAGCTCACGGTGTGATTATTATTCCTTTTACTGAAGGTTTGGCGGTGGCAGCTTTCTTGCTGTTTCTTGCTTCCAGCTCATATCTGACTTCTCTCAAGCACTCTCAACGGTAGTATGTCAATCTTTCACTGACCTCTGTATGCGACCATAGCTCATCATTTCTATAGGACCAAAACTCCCTGAAAGCTCAGATTTATTCTGAATTTCTTCAAATTTTCTTAATCGCGCAGATTGGTGTGCTGGGACCACGCCTGATTCTTAGTGTTCGAAAGTATTACGCTGAGCTCGTGGCAGACTCCGATGCGGCAACCGCCATGACCTCGATCGCTTTCCAAGAGCGTGTGCATATATCGACTGGCAACAGTGTGTGATGTTCGGTGAAGTTGACGGTTCTCTGGTACTCTCCAAGGAGCAGGGGAATTTGCTTTTATTTATTCGCGCTTTCGTGATTAAGTTTATTTGGTGTTTTGAATTATATTTCAAGGAGACATACAAAAGTTTTCGTCGTAGTATTTAGTCGAGTGATTTACTGTACACGCTGGTAATGTTTAAACCAATAGGACGTCTAGAAGATCCTACGGGAAATAAGTTTGAGTTCCAGTGCCAGAGATCTCGCAGTATTTGTTTAGTCTGGTGTGTGGCATTTTCCGAGGACAGCAAACTCATCGCGACTGGCTGTAAAGACAGCTATGTTCGCACATCATGGACAGTTCCTCTGGTGGAGTCGGAGAGCGAGCTTCAACATGTGAAAATTTCTCTTCATGCCATGCCTCATGCTGACTCGGACCTGCCATACAGTTCACTGAAAAAATTCTTGAGGTACGCTTTCACGCTTGTTGTTTTGTACGATCCCTAACTTCAGTCCTGCAGAAAACCATCCCACATCAACAGCCGAGACACGCTCCAATACCTACTAATAGGTTTTTTGATGATGCAAGTCCATACGATACAGCTGCATATTTGATGCACGTCTCACCATCCTTTGTCAGTTTGATCCACATCCTCCACCTGGACGTAACAATCCTGCTGCTACCACCACGCACCATGCTGAGGGGTCCTGGATCAAGAACATCATGAACCGTCTCTTTTCCCGCTCCTCCGCTCCCCAGGGCCATACTCATCGCCCACGCAGGATCCCCTCTGTAGACGTCTTCGCGACACGAGGCAAATATGTAAGTCTTCCTCCTTTTGACGCATCTCATGGTTATGACATATAAGAGTATATAACTAGCTCATATCACGTCCTCCTCGCAAGCAAGACCGCGCCGGTGCTTCAAGCAGTAGCACGCCGCTGGCGGTGACATCCAATGTGGTTGCTGAAACTACGCCAGCAACGTTGCAGACCGGAAATACCAGTGCAACTGATAATCCTCCTTCCCCGTTGGATCTTGAACATGTCCCAGACATCAGCTGCTTTGCAGCTCTCACAAGGTGCTTCCCGCGTCTTTCACGTACTCGACGAATAAGTTCTGCTACTCCCCACACCCGCTGAGCGGCCTCTCCTATCCGAACCTTTCATTGCCATAGATACAACTGCCACATTTGTGTTCTTTCAGATACTTATGCAAATCAATGTTACTCCCGATAAACGACTGCAATTGTACTATGATATACAACATTCATAGATGTTCGGAATGGTATTTTCTCTTCATCCTCCTACCGGGAACTCTGGACAGAATGCGAAAACAGCAGCCAAGACTCTGATCTCGCACGCCTACACCACCTTGGACTATGAAACGACCGCGGTTTTGATGACCTGGTCGGTGCCATCGACATCCCCGCAATCTCGACTAAAGCACGACCTAGATCTTAACGAATCCACTAGAGAGCACTACACAACCACCCCGGCTTAATGAAGGAAGGCCAAATTGGTATGTCCGATAATTACTGTTCATATCTCAACGTTTTCCATGTTGGCTTAGCATCATCAGCCCGAGTCCCAACAATCTGATACAGTTGCATGACTTGTATGATGCCGTTGCCAACGGTGACCAGGGCATAGATGTTGTCGGCGAGAACCATTCTGTAAGTACTGGTGCAGTGATGTTCACGAGTCACAGTATTGGAAGGACAAAGTTCATTCATCATACAGACTAGTCAGTAAGAGCACAATGATGGACAGAAGCTCGTTTCATACTCCTCGGTCTGCAGCCAGCGTTCTCTGTTCAGTGGTGATCAAAAGGGATGCTTCTTCCATCGGACGCTCCACTCATAGTTCACCGCCCACCCGGAGACTCTGCAACAGTCCTTAAACAGTTCGACGCCCACGCTATATCGATAGCAGTTTGTATGCTTAGCCTCGCGCGTATATGGGCCAGTTCAGCATTTCTCGCTCCGTGTCCGCATGGCGGCCAAACTTGTAAGGAATCAATTGGCTTGCAGCGCTCAGGAGAAACTACGCAATGGAGCAAAGCTGTCACTTTCAAGACCCAATTATGCTGGCAGGAACGAACATCTCATTCTCCCTCGGCCTGACCTGGAGGTACCATTACCACAGCCAACTAGTATCAAACGATTAATTCGTACATTCATGTTATCACTTATCAGCACAAGATAAATGTAAGAAGAGATCTCGGGTCGACTGACTCAGACGTGGCCAGGAAATTATATCAGTTACGACAGTTGAACGTTGAAACACAGTAAAAGCGGCCACGGCGCCTACTAAAGAAAACTCCTGGAAGAAGCGCTGAAGATGATCCGTATGCAGGACACCACGTGTCTACAGCAAAGCTGACATCAGGGTTCAGGCCTCAGGGATAGTCAGTATCTTACAGAAGATGCAACTTAACGACTACTCACTATAGCGCATGTAAGTGATTGCTGCTCCCTCAATATTCCTGTTGACCGAGACACCGAACAAGACTGAATGGCGGTCACCACCGACAAAGCATCTACGAAAGCGCCCGCCCAGTCTGCTGAACTGACACTCAAGGGTCATGAGGAAGGTGTGTACGAAGTAGCTTTCATCCCCGGTGCCCGTCTCCTCGTCACTGCCTCGGTCGACGAGAGTCTTCGGGTGTGGGATCTGGACACGGGGAAACAAGTGGGAGAGCCCTTGTTGGGACACGATGACAGAGTCTGCGCGGTCTCGGCGTCCCCTGATGGACGTTGGATTGTGAGTGGAGGATATGATGGAAGCATCCTGGTCTGGGAAATCGCGACAAACAAGAAAGAGTTCAAACGAGTCCCCGTCTCGTTTGAGGGCCATGAGAATGTGGTTCCGAGCGTCGTATTTGCACCGGACAACAAGACATTTGCAAGTGCATCACGGGACAAAACAGTATGCGTGTGGAAGAGGGAGACGGGAAAAATAGCCCTCGGACCACTCAAAGTGGGCAACATGGCATTCTCGGCGTCGTACTCCCCGGATGGGACAAAACTAGCAGCAGGCACACAGAGCCACATCATCATTTGGAATTCAGCAAGTGGAGAAGAGTTGCTGAAAATAGAACAGCGGGCATGGCGAGTCGCATTCACTCCAGATAGTCTCCGTCTCATCAGTGGAAACAGAGGAGACATCCGAATATCAGATGCGCAGACCACCGGAAGCATCATCAAACAGTTTGACGCGCACACCCGCGACAACTTTTTATCACTAGCCGTTGCTCCCAATGGCATCAAATTAGCCACCACGTCATACGATAAAACGACGCGGTTCTTTGACCTGGCCACTTTCGAACCCATTGGCGAGCCACTCGAGCACCCTGATACAGTCTGGTGTGTGGCATTTTCCGAGGACAGCACATTCATCGCGACTGGCTGTAACGACAACATCGCTCGCACATGGACAGTTCCTCTGAGCGAGTCAGAGAAGGAGCTTCAACAGGTGAGCAAATCATCTCGTCGTATCATACTTCACGCCCGCTGACCTGTCATATAGTCCACTCAGAAAATTCTCAATGTACGCCGCCTTCACGCTCGTTTTTTTGTACAATCCCTAATTTCAGTCCTACAGAAAACCATCCCAGACCCGCGGCCTCGCCCAAAACGCGCTCCAATACCAACTAGTAGATTCTTCGATGATGTAAGTCCATATGATACAGTAGATCTGATGCACGTCTCACTATCCATTGACAGTTTGATCCAACTGGACGCAACAATCGCGCCGGCACTACACGCAACGCCAGGGGCTCCAAAATCAAAAACATGATACATCGTATCTTTTCTCGCTCCTCCGCTTCCCAGGACCATACTCCTCGCCCACGCGGGGTTTCCCTTGTCGACGTCTTTGCAACACGAGGCAAATATGTAAGCTTTTCTGACTTTTGGACATCCATCTAGCGACGTTGATATTGTCTCGCAGCGCACCGCTAATGCCCACAGTGGAAAAAGGGATAAGTTGTTGCGGCTACAACGTCCTCCTCGGAACTGGCAAGCTCATGCTGGTGCCTCGAGCAGCAGCACACCACCAGCGGAGACATCCAATGTGGTCAATGAAACTACACCAGCAACGTTGCAAATTGGAAGTATCAGACCCTCTTCCCCACTAGACGTCGCACATGCCCCACACAGCAGCTACTTTGCGGTTCTCGCAAGATGCCTCCCATGTTTATCACGACCCGCTTCAGGTTCCCGCTAGGCTTCTTCTCCCTTCTGAGCATTTTCGTTGGAGTAGATCTTACTGGATCCATTGGAAGATACTTACGCAGTTCGATGACGTTCCCTGTAGAGGACTACCACTGTACGCAGCATTATCTCGTTTAGTTGAATAGATACCACTTATTCACCGGTCATACCTAATCTTCAGGATTGCTTGCGCTAACAGAGCAAACAATGATATGTAACTTCATCCCATACTTGCATGGTCAACCTAATGTATTGACAAGGCATCTATCGACTGTCGCATACAAGAAACATAGTGCATTGCATATCCTGATTTCAGCATAAGCATAAAGTACTTAAAAAAGTCAAACACCGCATACGCGGAGAGCAGCACGCGGACCACTACGCAAGTATACGGATGTACCGTAACATTCGTGCACGCGACGAGACTGTCGCACGACAACCGCCGGCTCGCTCTGAAGAAAAGGGATAACCTGAAGATACCGACAGGCTGCCAAGATGCGACAAGAAGTGCAAGGGAGCTGGCCTAGCTAGCTGCGGCATCACCAGCCACGAACCAGTCCCACACATACCAGCTCTCGCGCAGTCATAGTGCGCGCGCATAGGATCCGCGGCAGTAGAATCACTCGCGCCATCTAGAACACAGTCACGCCCGATTGCGTCCCCGCATACTGGCTCTTCACGTCGTCGAGGTCTGTCGTGCCGTCCTGGCTCTTGTAATCATATCCACTCATGCTGGCCATGTCAGAAGCACCAGCAGCAGAGGAGAAGGAGCCACGCCTCTGTAAACGGTCTGACTGCGAGAATGCCATGGCAGAACCGCCGATGCTTGCGGTGCTTGGCGGTCCAGCA